ATTAGCAAACCATATCTTATTGATCTGCTACTTTCCCCTTTGCTGAGGACTTTGAGAGAGACTGTGCTAGCAGGTCTCACTCACATCTCTGAGAACAGGGCAAAGGAATTCCTGAGATCATTCCTGCTGATGCACAATGCTGAAGTGTCCTCTGTCTAACCACCAAATCCTACTTGCAAACACACAGGATAGAGCCAAGCAAATGAAATGTTCTTAGTTGTTTGAATATCTTGCATTTATGTAGAAATAAATATTAAACAGGACAAAGGGAGTTCATGCTTAAATATACCTAAAGTAATTATGATTTTAAAAAATCTTATTGTTAATAAAAATGTTTGAAAAGTATACTTTCAAAACCAGTACATACTTCTAAAGAAAAGGGCAGCAGCTTTGATATAGAAACAACTAGATGGTGCTCCTCTGCTTTGGAAATTGTCAGAGCCTCAAGACAAGTGAATTAGAGAAGCAAGATATGATCTCTAGAAAAAAATATGTAATCAGAATCATGCTGTTCCTAATGTTTGTTACAGATGCATAGAAACACTTGTTGAGTAACAGTTAAGGTTGTAATTTAGGAAAGGTTGAACGATTGCTTTCCAAAACATTACAGCCTTTTCTTATTGTAAATCAAATGCTTAGTAGGGTATATATATCCACACAGATATGATTTGTAACATAAATATGATACATACAATACATACAGTAGCATTCCTTTTAAAAAACATTAAAACATCTAAAAATTATTTACTCTTAAGAGATTTTAGCAAATTAATTATGCTACATTTTAAAAACAATCCTTGTTGTAATGCCAGCCACAAAGAGAGGAAAAGTTCTAGAACAGTGACAATAACTGAATGAAGACCAAAGGCTAAACTATCTTTGAGTGAAATGCCATATTTGAAAGGGTGCCATTAACTTGGCAGTCACAGCTGCAATTTAAAATTATGTAACTTCAGGCATCTCCTAAAGTGCTAGGACATTGTTGGATGAGAAAACAGATTTTTCTAATAATTAATAATAATTTACTTTGTGCTCCTGATCACATGCTATATATAGTCCATGTTATGACTTGGGAGGTTGTGCTTACTCTCTCAGATTTTGCTAGGTCTGGTATTTAGTGGCAAGATTAACAGCCAAGATAAAAACCTATGGACCAGGATAATTAAACAGACTGATGGAAGCCAATAGATATGGCCAGAGGTTCACATTATTTCTTAGTAATGCATAAACCACATTTGCTTTTACACAGTAGAAAAATAATAAAGTCTTTTGAAGGAAATCTTAAAGAGAAATTTGCAAAGCACTTCTCATCTTTTTTTTTTTTTTTCTGGAAAGCTGAAATGTTTTGAACAAGTGAATGGAAGTTAATATGTCAGTGTAGATATCTTAGGGCATGTAGAAAATTATGGTAATGTGCTTCATTTATGAGGTATTGCCTCTTTCTCCTTTCACTCATATATATGAAAATAATTTAGTTTGTATAAATTTTATAGCACTGAAAATTGCCTTATCTTCTTCATGTTTTACCACTTACTTATATACCAATAATAAAATATATAGTTCTTGAAAATACTTTGAAGTATCATACATTTTATCTATTTATATTCTTGTAATATGAACCAGCATTGCCACTTTTATGCTCTAGCATCATTTAATGTGCACATTTCTGTTGAACTTGTTATTTATCATGCTGAAAGATAAATACATCCCCAGTATAAAACACAAAAAAGACAAAATGCTGCTGTATTGCTGCATGTGCTTGAGAAGTGTGTTATTTTCCAATGGAAAAGTGTAGCTTTGTATAATTTTACTAAAAGCAGAAGATGGAGAATATTTTAAACTGCTACTAAGGCTATTTCCTGTTTTTACTGATGACTATGTCAAGTAATCATGTCCATAAACAGACCAAACTCAAATTAAAACCTTTTCCTTAGTGACCCCAGAGTATTTGGCTAATAGGTATTTGTGATTAAGTAGTACATTAAGTTTTTCTAGCCGTACTGGTCATTTATCACTGCCAGATGTAGAGAATAAGGTGAACTTCAATTTTGGAGACCGCTATCTTGGTATTGAGGTCCAGCATTTTCTTACAAATTGAGAATCTGAGATATTATGCTTAGAGCTTTGAAATTAGCACATAAAGAATGGGCATGCTTTCTCTTGACACTTGACTGCATTACCCGCTGATCAAATGACTTCTTTATTAAGTAGTTTATTGAATAACTAAGAGATTTTTCAACTGAACAGGTAGTTTTTAGGCAAAACACTTCCTCTGCCTTTTCATGGTGATAGGATGCATCAGGGCATTATCCAGCTGCTCTCCTCACTCCAGACTTTGCCATACTCTCTATTCCACTTGTAATCTTCTGGTGCAGTCAGACCCTATCTTTTCCCCCATTTCTTTGCTTAGTCTCAAGTCTCATTAGTCTTCCTGTTCTTCCTCTGACTGCATTCCTACAGCCACGGCACAGTAAGTGCCTTGCAATAATTCCCTCTAATACCACAGCTCTTCCTAGGATCCAAGATCCCACTGCCTCACCACATGTCCTTTCCAGATCCCTTCCCAATCTCAATGCCCCTATGCCTTGACAGCTAATTTTGCTCACTAACCACTTTAGTTCTTTCTATTTCACATCTGTTCCTTGGCTCTTGTTTTTCGGTCTGTCTTGCTGGTTTTGCCAACCCAGTTGTGGTTTCACTGTCTAGTTTCTACTGTTATGTGGTTGTTGTTACCCACAGCACTTCTAGTTCCAATTTTGTACTGCCTTCCCTCACGTGGGTTTATTTTTTGGTCCTAATTCACTCTCATACCTATTCAGGTTCAACCTGTTTTTTTCCTGTTTTAAATGTCCACAGTTCCTCAGTGCTCAGTGAATGCAGGGAAGAGCACTTGTACTCAGAATTTGGTCCTGGACTCCTCATGGCCCACAGCCACCCAAATTATCAGCTGCATAACTGCATTTACAGAAGTGATTTGGCATATATGTTATTAGTTTAGTCTTCTATCCCCCACCCAAATGTTACCTGTCTTCCTTGTCTTGTGAAGATATTGAACACTGTTGAACAGTCTGACAGTGCCCTCAGGGTTCAGTGGTAATACTAATATTAGATAATAATGATAAATCTGTAAATCACTTGGGACATCCTAGAAAATGCATTCGCTAATCCTTATTTTAAAGTTCAAGACTGGCAGGTGTGAGTAACCATTTATTTTCCATTTCACTTTAATCCATCTGGATATAACCTTAGGGGTTTTCTCTCTCTCTTTTTCAAACTTAATGATAATTACTTTAAAGTTTTGCACCATCAGGTGTAATAACCTTTCAGCAGCTATAGTTCCAATTTTATACTGACAGAGGCGGATGTTCTTAGTGCTTACGTTTCCCAAGTTACCCTAGGCTTTCGTTGTAGCTAGTTGGAAGGCCCTTTAACGGATGGTTCAGAGTTCAACCCTAATTAAACTGTTCAATTCTTTTCACTTGAGAACTTTATTTTCTCCACTGATTTGAGAGAGATCCATAAGGGTTTTTCTCACAAAGCTCTTAAATTCACTTCTTATATAAGTCATCCTCTATTTGATGTTGAGTGAATTCCATGCTGTAATATGGTGATTATCTAGGGCATATTAGAGATTATTTAAAATAGTAAGTAAATACTGGCCATTGAGTTTGTTACCTCTTGTTCATTTACTTAATTGTTGGCTCATCCCAGTGATAAATTTCTAAATATTTACAGCACTATAATTGCCTTAGAGCATGCATAATAAGCAAAATAAACTTTTCTATCCTGCAAATTTGATGGAGTTGTGTACAATTACTCATTAAAGTATCCATAAATCTTTACAGGTTTGAAATCTTCTGCACTGTTATAATTTCTAAAGACAAAGGCACAGCCTTTGAAATAGTGTTCAATATCGAATCAGTTGCTGAGCTTAAACACTTTGTAATGTTTTAATATAAATATTTTTGTACAAAATGTTGCACTAAGGATACTGACATTTCAACATTTATTTTTTTGCCTTTATATGTTTAAGGACATTTCTATCACATGGATTCTGGTTATTCTGTTGGTTTTTCTTTCTAAAAATCATTCTGCATATCAAGCTGTAATAGATATATATTTTGCAAGAGTCCGTGCAAAATTGCAGAAACAAGATATCTTTAGTAAATATCTTTTCAATTCTAAGCAGAAAAATTTAATTTACAATGAAAGAGTAAAACCTCTATTTGCTACTGATTTTATCTTTGTAGATTCTTTGTAGTGCATGAAAGGTCTTAGGCAGAGTCATAAGTTAATTGTTATTTATATGTTGTTTTTATTTGCCATCTGTCTATTTAGTCTTATCTGACTTGCATTTATTTATTTATTTATGCTCAAATGAAGTATTCTGGGATTGTTTTTAAATTTCTTTTGATCATACCTTATCCAGGTCTTTTTCTCTTTTGATCATGAAGAAAAGTATAAAACAATCTATTTGTGAAATCCTTTCAAATAAAGATAAAACAGATACACATCCAAAATACCTTTCTCAATATGGAAAGCACAGAGGGAATGCATCACCTCTTTCAAAGTAAACCTTGTACATATTCAAGGCATGTAAATAGGAAAAAAAAACCAACAGAGTAAGCAAAAAATTATCTTCCAACTGTCATCTATAGGGGGATATTAAGTGTTTTAGACTGGTGCTGTGACGTGCTTCGGATGCACATACATAACATCTATATTTTTATAATAGTGCTGTGTAAACAACTTTCATTAAACATTTCTCTAACTTGTCTTACATCCAGCAGAATTTTTTTTTCTTCTTTAAATTCTGACTTACAAAGAATCTGATCCTGCAGTTTGTACCCAAGCAAATTTTAATTATATATTTCTTGCCTTCATAAGTATCCTAGCATGAGTTCATCCTAGATGTTGTTCCTTGCACGAATGAAATGATTAAATGGTAAAGAAAGGTAAGAAAAGAAGACTCTACTTTTTTAAAGTAAACAAAGTTAATATTTAAATATTAGCATTAATCTTTTTTCCTCTATTTATTAGTTCAGGAATCCAACTAATGGTCAGAGAGAAATGGAAGTAAGATAAATCCATATTCTGCTTTTACTTTTCCAACCACGGGGATTATTTCTGATTTAGTTTAATATCATCATGTATCTCGTGAAGTTCAAAATTCAGATTTATATTAAAGAAAGCTTTTTTATCTGCACAAGTACCTTTACCATATTTTTATGATAGTGCAATTATTTGATCTACTTTTCTATAAACACCTAGTATCAAACAGGACATCGAGGATATTTACAATGACTACCTTCAGGCACAGAAGGCTAATTTCTCTAGACTTCCTCAGTATTAGTAGAGATCCCTTTATGAAATATTTCAGAGTAGCAGCCTAGTCAACAAGCTATGACATGCCTTGTTGAGAAAATGTTCTCCCTCTACTGTATACAACAAACCTAGAGAAGTAAAAATCCTTTTTTAGTCTTCTGGCTCCTGTATAGCCTGCGCTACCCACTGCCAGTACTTGTTAATTTGAGCTTATGTTTCCGAATCTGTACTTTACAAGGGATAGACTCTCCAAAAATTTTAAACCTCCCAGATTCACTTTCATGAACATTTACAGGTGTTATATCTTCCTAACGGACTTCCCACCTTTGTATACATGGTTGTATGTGTAGTTAGGGCCCAATGATAACACAAATTTTTTTTAATACATATATTAGATGTTCATTATCTAAAATATATGCATTATGTAATCCATATTGTCTGTATTGCTTATATCGCATATCTTATGCAAATGTTAACCACCACTTAGTCTTCATATTTATACTCTAGCATAGTCTTCTAATTTCAGCTCACATTTTTGAAGAGCAAAGTATATGGTGATCAATGATTCTCTCTCTACTCTGTACTATTATCACTGTAGTGAAAGTATTGCATAGTGAAAGAACATTGCATAGTAGAAGTTGCATGAACGTATAAGCATTTTGAAAAGTAAGTAGCTGCCTCCCCAGGTTTCAGTTTTTGTTTCAAAATGTCTCTCATGGGATCCTGCCAAGCAGGTTCCCGACAAGCTGGAATTTGTTTTCCTTAGGTCTAGGGTTGTGATTCTACTCTTTGTCTTGCTCACTTTTCTCAGAATTTTGAACTCCACGATCTTAAGGTTACTGCAGCCAAGGCCACTTCTTAGCTATGTTAGAGCAATAGGTCAAGCAGAGCATCTCCCTAGTCGGTTGACCCCTTTCATTAGGAGGAACTCAACTTTTTGTCCACACAGCAGAAAAATCTCCCAGATCACTTGCACCCAGCAAATATGTTCTCCCAGCAGATGTCAGAGTGGCTGAAGTCCACAAATGTACTAGGGCATGTGAAAGTGTTGTGTCTAAAGAAGCTTTCATCTTGATATTTCTGATCAGGTGATATGTGACAGCTACATACGACAGTGTCACCCATGTTGGTCTGTCCTCTGATGTAAAAACCTTTGACAAAAAGCCATTGCAACTCTTAGTTATGTGAGCTGTTCCACCACATTTCTCTATCCCAGTGATATTACTTCTCTACAGTTATTCAAGAACTTGTAGTTTCTCTCTTGAAGTTTCCCTCTTGAAGTTTCCCACACTTCATCCATTTGTGTAAAGGACTTGTTGTGTGCCCCCACTCATGCTAGATTTAGCAGCAGAGTGCAAGTACCTCCTCCTTCATGTTTTCCCCTGGACACATCCTCATCTTCCCCCTGGCTTTCACTTCTCTTTAGATTATAATAAATTTAGTCACATGTTTAGTCATGGACCAGAAGGGGAAAATATCTTTTATCTTTAGATAAAAGCATTAAAGAGAGAATTAAAATAGCACATTTGTGTTCCTATGAAGTAAGCAAGCACACAGGCCCTGATGCAGCAAATTACATATTCCTGGAAATAATATTTTATACACATATTCCTGTAAGGAGTTTGACTGTATGGTGTAGAATATCTAAAGATACTCAAAAATGTGGATTGGAAAGTCCATAGTAAGGAATAGAATCTCTTCTTTGGAGAGGGATTTGTAAACTGTGCTATCACCCTTCCTGTGATAAGGTCATAAAACACATAAGGTGGTGTATCTATCTTTGGAAAGTCCAAGGTTTTGAGCAAGGCAATAGTTGATAGGGTTTTTTTTTCCTGTACAAAATATTAAATTCTGAAAATATATACAGTTCAGGATTAAAATTCTAAATTGTGAAAGGTACTTGAATCAATGCTTGATATACCAAGGTGCTACAAATGCTGTTTCAATTCAGTGTTTATTTGTGACATGTCTCCTGGTATGATATTATTACCTGGCAACTTTGAAAGCTGTTATTGCACTTGTACTCTGTGCCGGAGAACTAGAGTAACTGCACTTTTAGAGTAGACCTCAGGAGAGGATATGCACCAAATTTCAATACCCGCTCAAATCTCACCTCATCTGTTGACATAGGCTCTAAATGAGCATAAAGGTCAGACAGGCATTTTGGTTTTTTGCTTCTGTGTCTATGTGCAGGATTTGTTTTCATTCTATGCAGGTTTATAGGTGTATCACTGAGTCTTCTGTGTATCTGGTGTGTTTCTACATAGCCTTCTTTTTCAATTACTTCAACAGAAAAAAGTTCTTCTTTTTCTGGCTCACTGGTCTGGACAGGAGTGAGATAAGTAAGAACTGGTCTAGCAATTTAAACCAAGGTCTGTAAAACAAAGAACTCAGCCATTGTAATTCTGAAGATTGATTCCTGTTTGGTATGAAACGATTAAACCAGCAGAAAAAAATATGACCTAAGGACCTCAACCTTTCCTTCCTCAAAGTCAGAATACCCTTCCCTAAGGACCTGTCCCAGCTACCCTCACAGGAATAGCAGAGCATGGAAGAAGGTAGGCTATGACAGACTGTTGGCGGCCATGACATTTGGCAGAAGCCAGAATGAATCACTAGATCTCTGATCAGGAGAAATTAGGTTACCTTAGGAAAAGACCAGCAGAAGACAGAAAGTCACTTCTATCTTCAGCTGAACAAAGCACAATTTCAGAATGTTGTTCTCCTTTTTCTCAGCATTACAAACAAAACTGGGAATAATTTTTTCAGTGTAGCATATTGGAAGGCATTGTCTTCCCCGAGGTTACTGAACTGGGGTGTAGGTACCATGGGAGAAGAAGACTTGTGATCATGGCTAAGTGTTCAAATGAATCTCCAGTTTCAGTTTCCTCTCTTCAAGTCTATTTTCTTTCTTTTCTGTGTTTTCCTTAGGCATGTGGTTTTTCTTTGTTTATGTACAATGACTTCTTCTGTCCTCTTCCCTGCTCTGCCTACACAACAGCATTTTCCTTTTTGTGTTCAGTGCTTTCACCTCTCAAGCCCCTCACCTCCTCCAAATGTGTTGCTTCTGCATTAAGACAGAGGAGCAAAACCACAGGGGAAAAAATAAAGCAGTTAGTTCTTCAAAGAACTAGACTGCAGCCTCACTCCCAAACCTGCATACATATTTCTGGGTATGAAAGAAAAGCAGATGAAAGGCTGGTGAGATTTTTTGGGCTGTTGTGTTGTTAAGGCAGAAAAGTCATAGGAGAAAAGAGGGGAGCTACCAATGAAGTACCAGGCATAGCCTGAACCATTCTTGGGAATGTGGTCCTCAGAAAAGAAGCTTTTCGGACTGAGAATTCCAGGACAGAGCTGCAAACTAAGAGAGTTTATTTTTTTCTCTGATCACAGAAAGAGGATTTTCTATTTTTTTAATGTTGATGTAAATAAACAAGGTTGCATTATCAGCATCTCCTCACACAACCAACCTGCAAGTCCCAAAATCTGGCTTAGATCCAAAAAAGGGTAACTATATATTTATGTAGAGTGAATAATACATGAATCCCTTGTTCTCCAAGTGTGATACTGTGTTCTTTACAGTGTCATTCATTAACCTATATGGCACAAACAATGAGAGGAGGTCAATATATTATTCAATATGTTTGAGTAATTAGGAATTGATTAGCACACAAGAAGCCAAATGAAAAGACACATTTCCCCCAATGACTGAAGTTGTTGAATTAGTTGATAAAACCCAGAATCTCTATTTGAGTTCAATTCTGTTACTCTTCACACTTACTCAGATTTTTTTTCTGTAGTTTGATGTTGGCATGTTTCAGCGATGTTGCACAGTGCCTTTGGACCCTTAGCCTTTGTAGTGCTAAGGACCTTCTCTTTCCATTTCTGTAGTCTGTTTTTCATTTCCATCTCTGTAAACTTTCAAGCAAATTGCTGGACACCTCCTGGGGAGGACACTTGTCTGGAAAGTCCCCTCACTTCCCTACTCAGTTGGCCACTGTGGAGTCTTTCCTTCCCCTTTCCCTTTCTTTGTCTCTTTCTCTCTTCCCCACCCCTTTTGTTTTAATTTTCCCCCCAAAGTAATTTTTGCTGTTAAATTTGCTATATGCCTTTGGTGCAGACCCTGCTAATCTTTGTGCATGTGAACCTGTCAGGGAAAAAAAATTAACTTTAGAAGAAGAAAAGAAATTAGTCTTTCATTTACTTATTATAAAGTGTTTAATTGAAGAGGCATTTTCATGAGAAACATAAAAGAACACCTAAGTGTTGTTAGAGTGTTTTAATACCTTTTAATCTACCCCAGTACAAGCTTGATGTACATATGCTTTTTTTGTGAGGGATTACTCTTTGGTATAAAATGTTCCTTGAACATGAGTCCTGAAGACCTCTAACCAGTGGCAAGTGGTTCTTCCTACTAGTCCATGCTTCCTAAAGTGACTTTGCAAAATAATTGTTAATTTCATTAGCATCCAAACATTATGTGCCCTTGTAAATATAGTATTGACAACTAACTTAAGGATTTTCAAGAGAAGATTAGTATTGCAGTTTCTTGTGTTGTTTGTCTGCTATCCCACTCAGGAGTGAATCCCATAACAATCTGTTGCGGGTTTTTTTATGAATGTCCATCCCATATTTGGAATAAATCATACAATCTATGTAATTTTTTCATATAATCATGAATTGTTTACGTTGGAAAACACTCTGAAGATCATGGAGTCCGACTGTTACCCTAGCACTGCCAAATCCAACAC